TCCTTCTCCTTCTCCAGCATCATTGCCGTGAGCTATGAAGCCCGGGCGCACGGAGTCACCAGGAACATGTGGGCTGACGAGGCCAAGAAGCTCTGCCCTGAGCTGCACGTGGCCCGGGTTCGAGAGGCCCATGGCAAAGCTGACCTCACCCTGTGAGTGAGCAGCTCGCTTTGAACTAGCATAACAACAACACGAGGAAATAATCTTATAGTTTGTGCCAGACCCAGAATAGTCTATTTAGAATCAGATTTTTTTTTGCTTACCTTTCTTCTGTGATGCAGATATATAGAGTTTATAGACTCCCCATGTAACGTGATGCTACCAGAACTCTATTGTAATGTGTGGCAGTCCTGAGTGGTTGCGCTCTGAATGTCTGTCTGTGTCCCTGTCCAGTTACCGGGAGGCCAGTGTGGAGGTGATTGAGGTGATGTCTCGCTTTGCCGTGATCGAGAGGGCCAGCATTGACGAGGCCTATATGGACCTGACCAGCACTGTGCGGCAGAGACTCCGGGAGGCAGCTGAGCTGTGTCCTGATCCCAGTCTGCTGAGGAGCACTTATGTCGAGGGGTTTCCCCTGACAGCCTCTGGCCAGCAGGGGGAGCCAGAGGAGCAGACTCTGCAGGATAAAGGTGTGTTTGCAGCTGGGAAAAATGATAAAACATGCACTGAAAAAAATCCAAAACAGGAAGTGTTGAGAGCTGTCTGCAACTCAAATGTAGTTGATGTAAGTGCTTCTGTAGAGTGAGGTTCATCCCCTTCCCTGACGGTCTCATAGCTCATAGCTGTGTGTGTGGTGCCATCCTGGCTGGGGTCAGCTAGCTGTGCTCTGCTGTGTGTCTCGCAGAGGAGAGACGCTGTCAGGGCCTCCAGCAGTGGCTGGCCACCCTGCCCTCCCCGCTGACTGTGGCCTGCCCCGAAGTCCAGCTGGCGGTGGGCGCTATGATTGTGGAGGAGATGAGGGCTGCCGTGGAGAAGGAGACTGGTTTCCGCTGCTCGGCAGGAATCTCACACAACAAGGTGAGGCCCCTCAAGCCCCTGTTCACAGGCCTGGAGCGACCAGGGGGCGGGGGACAGTCCGGGCAGCCGTCAGCCACTAGGGCAGTCTAATGGCTTAGCGGCCATGGTGTGTCGGAATTAACAGACCTGCAATCTGTCTGCCTCACATCACTGGGTATTCCTAGACCTGCAGAATCTTCTGACATTCCCTGACTGAAATAATTATTTAATTGGACCAAATGAGATTTTCACCAGCTGGTGATTGAGAGGGTCGGGCAGTTTGGCCTGAGCAGCAGCAGTGAACAGCACTTCTCTAGACCAGTAGTTCTCAAACCTTTTGGACCAAGTACCACCCCTGATCAAACCAAAGCATCCAAGTACCACCTACTGTACAAGTCATTTTCTCAGAGGAACCCCAGAAAATCTCAATGACCAACATGAGTGTGCGTGCACGCACACTCTCACATACACGTATAATAAATATTATAATAATAAACTTTATTTGATATAGCGCCTTTAAAGGTGGCTTTTCAAAGCACTTCACAGAATGACAATAGGAACAACAACAATTAAAAATAAACAATAAAAAAGCACCATTTCAGTGAGAGGGGTGAGCCTGTTTAGTTGAGCAAAGGAAATGGGAATTCATTAGTCGAGCCTTGATACAATTCACAACAGAGTCTAACAGATTTTAAATCCTCAGGCATTTTCTTGACGGCCAAGGCCTTGCGGTGGATGCTGCAGTTAATATCTGGAGCAACCTCTCTAATTCGTGCAACTACATCACTGTTTCGGCTTGTCATTGCTCTAGCACCGTCTGTACAAACTCCGACGCATTTGATCCAGTCGATGCCATTCTCTTCGATAAATTCAATCAGAAGTTGAAATATGTGCTCTCCTGTAGTTCCTGTTGGTAGCGGTTTACAGAAGAGAAAGTCCTCATGGGATATGCTCTCAAACTCGTATCGAACGTAAACGAGCAAATTGGCCAAATCAACGACATTTATAGACTCATCTAATTGCAGTGAAAAGCATCTGCTCATCTTAACACACTCTATCAGTGTACTTTTGACATCATCTGCTATATCAATAATTCTATGAGAGACTGTGCCTTTCGGAGGGGGCAACAGGTCGAGCTGTTCAGCAGCTTTTTCTCCACACATAATATGTGTCAGCTCTTTTGCCAACAGTAAACAAAGTTCTTCACAAATAGTGTGGGGCTTACCTGCTTTAGCAATTCCGTAAGCTTGCATTTTTCCCTGTTTCCATTTCAGGAGTTTGTCTCAGAAGTTAAAAGAAGTTTATATTTTATGCGCATGGGAGCAAAACACAGAGACGCTCGGTGTATTTTTCTCAAATTAACCTAGAACAGTTCATAAATATATTTCTGTTATCTATCACGCTTTCCTGTGCTCACGAGATTGCCAGCGTTTGTAGTATGCATTTCTATGCTTTCCTGTGCTTACAACATTGGCATTGTTCCAAAATCACATACATCCTCTCTCTTGCAGGTGTTGTCGAAACTTGCCTGTGGCCTGAACAAGCCGAACAGACAGACCATCCTGCCCCTGGGGTCTGTGCCTCAGCTGTTCAGCACTCTGCCCATCAGGAAAGTGTGAGTATTGTCTGTGCTCACACCCACGTTCCCAGTTTCGGTTTTCTGCACTGCCTTCACAGACATCTCTTAAACCACTGGAGCCAGGCTCCCTGTACCGGCCTTGCAGACTCTTGTAATGTAAACATTTCCTTGTTTACGAGACACACGTAAGCAAAACTTGCTGAATGTGCAGTAACAAGACACATCGCAGCCCATACAGACGTGAGCGCGGGGAGTCCGCGGAGTGAGTAGGTGACAGCTCTGTGCTCCCTCACTGTGTATTGAAGCTGCGGTCTCTTCTGTTCATGTGGTGAAGACGTCACCTGGGGGGGAAGCTGGGAGCCGCTGTTGCCGAGAGCCTGGAGGTGGAGCACATGGGAGAGCTCACCCAGTTCACACAGGGGCACCTGGCCGAGCGCTTTGGGGAGAAGACGGGGTGAGTCCACCCAGCGGGAGACAGACTCTGTAATTCTAGCTCCTTGGGAAGCCTGATGAAGGTGCTTCAGGTTCACCGGCGCGTAGGAAAGATCATATGAAGTTCCACCAGCCGAGCAGTGATTGACTGTACCAGGCCTGAAGGTGTATTTGACACAAGTGGCTTCAGGTGCTTGTTAATGGAGAATTTGCATCAATTGTATTGTTAAAGCACTGCTCTTATCAGTTAAGAGAAATTAAATGGCTGTGTCAGAAAGTCTTATTGGGTGAGGAATAAAAAAAATCCAGATTCCATGTTGGAGTGTCTGTTCTGCTCTCCTCCCAGGCAGTGGCTTTACGACCTGTGCCGAGGGATCGAGATTGAGCCAGTGAAGCCCCGACAGCTGCCCAAATCCATTGGCTGCAGCAAGAACTTCCCAGGGAAGACTGCCCTGGTCACCCGAGAGCAGGTATCCCAGCATCCTCGCGCAACTACGATGGACTCCATTTTCAAATCTTTGATATAAGCTTCTTTCAATGGTTTGTCTCTTGACAGTTTTGCAGATTCTCACTGCTGAATGTCGTGTTTCAGTGTAGTACCTGTGAAAATGTATTAATGTTGTATGTGTGTGCTCCCATGAAGGGTCTTAGTCTCTGTCTGTGCCCTCAGGTGCAGCATTGGTTTCTGCAGCTGGCTTTTGAACTCGAGGAGCGACTGACCAAGGACAGAGAGATGGTGAGAATTGGCTGTCCCGCAGACAGTGTCACATTCTTGCAGTTTTAAAGTAAAAATTGTGAGCAACTCTGGGACAAAAACATGCAAATGAATGCATGTTTTTATTCTACTACAGTTGAAAAGTGTAAAAGATTAATCTTAACAGTTATCACCAGCAACACCGTAAAACCAGATTCTGATTGTAAGTACTCTACGTGCTGTATGTCTGTTAAAACCCCTGAACACAACGAGAGATAATTATGGACTGACAGGGGCTGTTAAACATTACTTCTGCTTTGTCTTTGTGTTTTCTGGCTGCTGAAACAGAGCCACATCATGGCTCAATAAAGTGACAGTCAGCAGGTGTTTCCTGTTCCGTTTTGATTATTGATAAGTTTGTATCTAACACTGTCAGCCACCATGGGTAGATCTGTGCCTTTGAAGTTTGTGCTTCAGGCAGCAGTCTGCCGTAAAGGTCAGGGGTTGTGGGTCCCGATCCCAAATGGGACCCCACTGTCAGGCACACACACTGCCTCCGTGTTAACAGGTCTGCAGGTCATTATTGTGAATGAGAATGTGTTCTTGCCAGACCGATCTGAAGGAGTAAAAAAGAGAAGAGAAAGCAGATTGCCAGATCCCTAAGGGCAGGCCAGGAGTGCAGACTGCTCTGAACTCCTGACCCCTCCTCTCGCTGTGCAGAACAACAGGGTTGCTCGGCTGCTGACAGTGGGAGTTCGCGTGATGGGGGACCGCCGGGCCAGCAGCTTCTCCCGCTGCTGCGCGCTTGCGCGGTACGAGGCCGCAAAGATCTCCAGCGACAGCTATGCCCTCATCAAGAGCCTCAACACAGCTGGCCCCCACCAGGCTGCATGGCAAGTGACCCTCCCCCCGGGCTGCTGCTGTCCTGCTTGTGCAGTCAGCGCAGTTAGTGCAGTTCACAGAGCAGATCAGTGGAGGTTTGAAGGGAGAGGTGCTCTGAATCCAAGCAGTTTTTCAGAAAGATTTTACAGCCTGAGTACAGTTCTGGTCACTTTCTATTGCTATCATGAATGGGTTACCAGAAGTGATCATTGTGTACATTAGAACTATACAAAATATGTCCACATGGCACAGTGGCTATTCCTGATCAGGTTATCCCTGCCTTTCAGTTATTGCTGAAATGTCACGTGCAACAGCTGTCTGTGAATTTAAGATGCACCTCAAACCCAGCTCACCTCAGGTCAGGTCCAGCGTGCTCCTCTGCTGCTCTGATCCCCATTGCTCCCCAAGCAGATACAGGCACACCTGCCCCTCTGGTGCTACAGCTGTCCAACTGGTATGTGCCATCTTAAAATCCTTAAACAACACTCATTGCTTAGGATCTTCTTTAAGTGCAGTGTGGCAGGTTTTTATTTGAGGTCTCCTTTTTGATATATAAGAAAGGTTTGATTCCCAAGATCTTCAGGTTTCTTAGTTTGTTGTTAGCAGTAAACCTGAGTGTTGGAGGTTGAGCAGTATGAGCAGGTGGTGAACAGTGGTGGGGGGCAGAGCTCTTGGCTTATGTCGGCCTGTGCTCTGTGCTGCAGGAGTCCGGCTCTCACTCTGCTGCACCTGTCTGCCAGCAAGTTCTCCGAGCCGCCTGCAGCCTCGGCCGGGGGAATCACCAGCTTCCTGAGCAGCGGTGCCGCAGAGACACAGACGCCCCCCAGCCCAAAGAGAGAGGCAGGACCCAAGCAGCCTGGTGCCATCCAGTCCTTTTTTCAGAGGGCCTCTGTCAAGAAGAAGGAGGGCTGTGAAATGTCAGCGCTGTCTTCCTCCTCAGACCTGACATCTCTTCCTCCTTCTGAAAACCATCCCCCCACTCCCTCACCGGCCAGGCCATCGGTTGGCATCTCTTTCTTTCACAGGAAGGCTCTAGAGGACGGAGGAATGCGTCTCTCTGAAGACTTGCTGGATCCGGCCAGACCAGTAGCCTGGGCACAGGCAGGGGTGGGTCTGAGGGAGGAACAGAGTTCTGGGGCAGAAAGCGCAGCAGGAACTGATAGCATAGCAAGCAGTGCAGAAACCCAAGAGAAAGCCGTGGAGCACATTGGCCCCGGGGTCTCCCCTGACAGCGCCACTGCCCCTGGGGTCTCCCCTGACAGTACCACTGCCCCAGGGGTCTCCCCTGACAGTACCAAAGCCCCTGGGGTCTCCCCTGACAGTACTGAAGCCCCTGGGGTCTCCCCTGACAGTACTGAAGCCCCTGCCCTGCTGAGCGATGTGGACCTGATGAGGTGTGAGAAGTGCAGGGAGCAGGTGTTGGCCTGGGAGATGCCAGAGCACATGGACTACCACTTCGCCCTCGACCTCCAGGAGGCACTCTCCTCCAGCCCTCAGATCTCCCCTCGGCCGCAGCACCCCCTCGGTAACCCTGGCCCCTCCTGCAGGGGCAAGAGCAGACCCCGGAGCCAGCCTGCTCCTCGCCCCAAGAGGCCGAAGTCTCAGGGCTCCAGCCACACCCTGGACTCCTTCTTCAAGAGGAGCTAGGCCGGCCAGCCCGCGGACGCGGATGACCTCAGGCCGTGGGAGTCAGTGCCGAGAGTGCAGGTTCCATTCCAGGGCACTCCAGGAAGCTGGAGCATTTTCAAGCAAAAAAGCACAGAGAAGCAGTGACCAACAGAAGGCCGACTCGCTTCCTTTTCTTGTTTGAATCAAAAGATCATGATTGGATAAATCCATAATGGTCTGCCTTCAGCCGTGCTGAGTCAGTGTTCAATTTTAACACTGTCAAATGGCCCTGTATAGTGTTTTGTACCTGTTTTGCCTTCTGATTCTGAAGTTTAAAACATGATTTTCCTCAAGGGGGCAGTGTGGCCTCACTGGAGCTGACATGACATGAGTGTTGACTTCCCATCTGCTTTTTGCAATTAAGTACATTTTTGCTTTTATCAAGTGTTGCACAAATGTAATTTACCTTTCAAAATGGCAAAAACTGCTTTTTAACAATGGACACATTTATTTTTAAGTAGTATGTAAATTGAGGAATATACAAGAAGTGAGTGTTGAATGATCGAATGATCGATTTTTAAGCATGTTTACCCTATTAAAATCTATTATGCAGCTGCTCTCTGTACCGTTCATTCTGTAACATTTTAGAAAGTACAAAGCATCATGTCAGGTGTTTCTGCTATAGTGTTATTGCAGTTGAACGCAAAATCATTTCTGACACTGTGGAGAAGCTCTGTCCAGGTAAAGGGCTTGACTCTCTTTGATGCTTTGTGCTCCTGCTCTGGAATAAGAAGTTGTTGCAGTAGTGTTTATGTACCAAACTGAACCCTCCCATACAAAAAGACAACTCCTGAAGCATCATGCTTGGGTAAAATGGGTATTCCTAAAGTCTCACTCTCACATCTCAAGAATTTAAAGAAGCTTAAAGTGAACACTGACTTTTCAATGGAGTATTTAAAATGACCAATGGAGAGAATACTACAGGATAAGATGTCTGTTGGCCACCCATGCAGAGATACGGTTTTATATTCCATGATACAGATCATAGGACACGGGCAAGGCAAAGTGAGACATGATATATGCCTGGAGCAGCTAAAAATACCTTACATAGAACATTTTCACAAGAGCCCTTCCTGAATTGCTTGTTGTGAAAGCAATGTAGGCAGCCTGTATTTGGGGCTGTTGTCCTGGAGAGCTGAGCTCCCTAGGGCAGTGGGACTGACCAGGTCTCCCACATGGTGCAGCAAAGCCTATTATATGGCAGTGTGCTGCTTTCAGTCATGTCCCTTTGACCCTGATTTCCACCTGCTTTGTTTTAGTTTCATTTTCCTGAAATGATAGCCCTTGCTGATAGTGTTGAACAAAGACTTGCCTGCTGAGTGCTGGCTTCAGAGTACCACAATGCACGCTGAAAATATTGCTGTTCTAGAATGTTTTTTTGCCATTATACTAATAAGGCAACATTTATGCATAACAGTTCTGCCTGCTGTACAGTTCTCAGACGAGACCACTTGTGCACAACAGCTGCATAGCTGTAAATAATTGCTGAAGTGAAATGGTTTTATTTCCTGTCAAGAGCAGATGAAAATGTGTCCATTTTATTAAAGAAAGTTAGGTAACATTCAAGACTATTTAATGTTTGGACAATACCATTTATTCCTTTTTTTCAAACATTTCATGGCCTACATGTTCATTGAGCCCCAACTGAGAAGGTGTGATTAAGGGCAATACAATTAAGTTTGATTCAGACAGAGGCCTTAGTATTCAGGGTTCTGTTTTGGCAATGAATTTGTTTCTTGTTGTTTGCGGAGGGGCAAAGTTGGCACCCTCTGGTACTTGACTGTTGTGTCTGGACTGTGAGGCCTGTGGTTCCTCTCTCTCGCTTATCTCCCTGTGCAGGCCCAGGGTTGAGGGCTGAGGATTATCAAGCCTGTGGACGCAGTTTATCATCAGAGCAGACTCTTGCAAAACAGCTCTCCAGCTTCATCAGGGCTTCTGTTTCAACACCCTCAAGCCTGTTTGTGTCAGTATTTACAATAGTTTTCACAACCAAGTCTCATAGCGAGTGCCTGCTGAATTTAATTTAATTTCATCTCATTCCTGGAACAGTTTAAAGCTCTTTGTTCTTGATTGAACTCTTCACCTGTGTTTCATCATATACAGGGCACCCCAGGTCAAATTGCATGTTTCACAATGCATGAAAAGAGGCTAACAGCCTCTGCAGAGTACAAACTTAAACATGACAGATTTCTGCACATTTAATAAACAATTACTATTTGCTGAATTTAACAGATTGAAAAAAAAAAATGAATGTCACATGTGCAAATGTTTCTGCAGGTCCTCTACAGTCCCATGTGGATTCTGCTTTGCATACCTTACCAATGTATCGTCAGTTCTATCAGACATTTTTCTGAGGCTTCCAGATCTTGCCTTGACTTCAAGTTCCCCTTTACTTCCATTTCTTAATGATCAATAATAACAGTGAAAATTCCAGCTAGAAGCATTAAGATATCTTTTATAGTCTTCCCTTGCTTTGTAATAGTCAATTATTTTTATTTTCAAGTCCTGAGTCAGCTGCTTAGAGGAGCCCATGGTTGTTGAGACCAGGCACAACATCCTGAAAGGTCAGAAGGGTTAGAGTATTTATTCAACACTGGAATTGTCTTTATCCGTCTTAAATTAAGATCTAACAAGTCGATCAAAGAGGCCTTAAAAAGTATTAACCAACTGGAAGGGTGCCCAAATGTTTGCAAATGCCACATACACTTTTTTTATTTTTTCCAATCGGTTAAATTCAGCAAATCAATCGTAATTGTGCAAAATATGCAGAAATATATCAGGTTTAAGTTTGTACCTTAAGGAGGTTGAGGCTACTTATTTTCCCTTAGAGATTCAGTTAAACATGCAATTTGACCAGGGGTGCCCAAACTTTCGGATACAACTGTAAATATGTGAGAATGTATAAAACGTGTTTATAAAGACAGACACGTTGTAAGATTTGAAGAACAAGAGGTAAATTGATTTTTACCATTAATCTTTTTAAGTGTAAAATAAAAATTGTGTAAGTAGAATGCACTGTATGGAAAACATTAATTTGTGATTATCTCACTGAGAAAAGGAAACCACCTCCTTTCATAATGATCCATTCCAGCTTGTTAACGGTGATCTGAGGTTTCAACGCTCAAACTCCTGGTCCCTTCACTCACACCAGTGGCAATTTTCATTCAGCTCTTTAAAATTCACAATACAGAAGAACACAGTACACAGAAGTCAATAAAAAAATCTATTTATGTCATTATATACAAACTGCATTTTGTACATACATTTCCGTAACTTCACTCAAAAGAAGATTAAAATAACAGAGAACTTGTGCAGACTCATATTTGTGAAATGGGAGACTGCTGTAAAAAGTCTTCTGGAAAACGTGGGTGGAGATCAAAAATCTTACCAAAGAAACATTTTCTCAATGCAAGAATAAAAGTAGTTTTCTGCAAACAAGTTTACATGAGCAATTCATTCAACATTTTGAAAGTGTGTTTTTTTGGTTTGCATACCTTCATTGCACGAGAACACAGAAAAGAACAGAACAGTAAGAACAGAAACGGGATGTAGGAGCTCCTGCAGCAGTCCTGTTGGTGTTCGCTGTGTGTTCCAGTGAGGTGGGAGGCACGGCTTAGCAATGCTCCACATGGAGAGGCCACAGCATCAGTCACAGACCTGACACACACACAGAGCTCAAAGGGGTCCTGTTCACCCACCCAAGCACCCTACACAATGTCGAGTTAAAGAATAGCACCACATGAACGTTACAAAAATTAATCCAACACCACAGAGCTCTAAAATAATTCCTTCTTTTATAGGCACTGTAATTTCAATCCCCTTTATAACAATCCACTGGTGGAAAATACAAAGATAACTGCAGTACCGCTACTGTAGAGGAACTTTCAGTCAGTTTGTCCTTTCTGAAATCCAATGCTGAAATTGTACCTTCACAACTCAAGTTCCCCACCATGACTAAGCTGGTAACCCCATGTTAACGACATTCTCAGGACATCATGCTGGACAGCAGACCGACACTGTAGCATGAAGGAAAGCTGGCTTTCAGAGTGTGGCAGACAGCATATTCACCAATTCAAGTGTTCTCCATTACTCAGCACATTTTGACCTGCAGTACTTAAGAGGGAAACTTTTTTCCACAGCAAGCAAGCTGTCAAGGTAGATTTTACTTCTGTTCCCAGCTCCAGGTGTGTAAAATAGGTCTCTACCAAGATGCAGTGCCTGAAGAGCTTGGAGAATCTTTTAGACTACTCAAATTAAGCCTATAATTAGTTCGATCAGCCCCTTGAGAGCTGGACTGGACTAAAAACCTGCACAACTGGTTTTTCTCACGAACCCTGCTTCAGAAGCTGCAGAATCCTGAACGAGTGGCAGATGCTCTGTCCAGCACAAGCACAATGCTCCACATTGGAAAGCAACGACTGCAGCAAAGCACCTGACAGGCCCCTGCAGAGGCCGCAGGACAAGGGAGCTCTGTGGCCTTAGAGCACTGGACACTGGGCCAAAGGCAGCCTCTCCTTCACTGAAACACAAGGTTCTTTATTGCGTACGTAATTAGAGACAACAAAAAACACAAAGTCACTTGTGAATATGGAAATAAAGAACTGCGCCTAGTCAGTACAACAGCCCAGTTCTGTAGATAACCTCAGTTGGCAGGCTGCATCACAGTATTGGGCATATAAAACAGCACCTTCAGCCTTTCTGCACAGCCTGCATCATGCTGCTATCACAACAGCTTCATGTGGGTCTGTTTCAGGCACTGAAGGCAATAATTCACCCATTCTTGTATAACGCAACCTCTCCAGAAGCACAAAGCCCCACTCACAGTTCTGAAGAGTGCAAGAATCCCAAAGTAGTCGGGGGCAGACTCTAGCGCACAGAACCACCCCACATCGACAAGTCAAAGCTGCCTCTACAGTGCCCACAGAGCAATTTCGTTAGGTCACTGTTTTCTACTGCAGACAGATTTGCTCAGGATTAAACAGGAATATGACTATTAAAGAAGGGTTATGTTAGAGAAGAACAGATTGCTTCTCTGTATGAAAACACAACAATCCAGAGCAAATAATGCACTTGGACACTTTCCCCACTGTGGTTAAAGGTACTTACAGAAAAAAACACTTCAATCAACACCCAGCAGGCAGAGGATCAGCCAAGCAAAACCCATAAGGAGAGGAAAGGTAAATAATCTGTATGAGGACACCAGCTGCCACGTGTTCCTGTAACACTGAACTCAGGACTCCACACACAGTCCGACAGAACACACAGTCACACAAATTTCCCCGTGGGGACAATAAAGCCTGAACTGAATCAAACAGTCACAGCTGCTGGAAGGAATCATCTTCAAAATTATGTTACCATGATGATCACATGCATAACATAAAGATGCTGCTGAACCTCCCAAACAATATTTCTCAGTGGCTCACTGATCCATTTCTCCACAGGCTCAATTTTCCTTTCATGGGAAGCCTGACTGAAGATGTTTTAGTGGTCAGAGACTGTTTTAAAACCATCTTGCTACATCACTTCTGGTTTGGTACTGTAAATATCACAGAGCAAGTTATCAAAGTTTTTGGAGCAGAAAGGTTCAGTTCTTCAACAAAACTTTGTGTACAAACCACAGTACGCGCTATGCTAAAACTCATTCACTTCCACTCATGACGCCACTCCTGCATTGTGAGGGACTGATGGGGGTTCAAATGGTGCTTTTCATTAAATTAAAGTCAGAAATTAAAGACCTTTTGAATCTGAGATTCTGGAGCCATTTAAAGATTTGGCTAATCTCTGTGGACATAATCCCAGGCACACGGGATTTAGAGAGAGTCTCTACAAGAATCTGCACCTTAAAAAAAACAGCAAAATGAAAGGAGACCCAAGTGTAAAACGTAAAGTTCGGCTGGCTGAAATTAAAAGTAGCTGGCCAAGCTACAGACAAGTAAAAAAAGGCTGTGGGCCAGGCATACGTGTGAAGAACAATCGCTTCTGTAATGATAGCTGTCAGATTAAAGGCGAGCAAATGCAGGTCAAACGAAACGTAGGTCCCTCTGCTCAGACTGGCTGGTGATGAGGTGTCCTAGGAGTCTCGTCCGTCTCCTAAGGGTGGTGCTGGTAGAGGGAGACGGGCTGCAGGTAGGTCACATGGCCAATGCCCTTGGTCACCCCCTCCCGGAACAGCAGCTTGGCTCCCACTTTCAAGTACTCAGGGTGCTTGATGAACTTGAAGCGCACTACCGCCTTCTCCCCAGTCCGCAGCTCGTCCTGAGATGGGAGCAGAGAGCGCCTTTACCGCCACAGCGAAGCATTCGAAACAAGACCAACCCAACAGCGCCAAGATCATTTAGAAGCAGTTGGGGTCACTGTAGTATGCACAGCTGGAAGAGAAAAACACCATTCCCCAAACCACACTGGCCACCATCAGCGCTGGCAGGTGCAGGCGAAAACCCTCGCATTCTTCTATATTAAATCAGCAGACTGGAATGTGGGGTGTTGGCACTGTTGCACTGAGAAAGGTGCTATGGAAATACACATGGATGGACTCAGCACAGGAGAGGTGGACACATGGAGGACAAGCTTAATAGACAAGGGGGGTGAAATGGAAACTGTGACACCCTGGACTGCACCCGACCCGAACTCCGGCCTCACCCACCTTCCCGCGCAGGCACTCCACGGTCGCAGTCTGCCGGACGTTCCCCACGTGGACGGTGACCTGGAAGCCTTTCCGGAAGGTCTTGGCATGGAACAGCAGCACAATCTCGGCTTCGAACAGCCAGCAGATGGTGGGATTCATCTCTGGACTGACCATCACCATTCCCTGCAGCCAAAATCAACGGTGAGGTGCTCTCGCGTATGTCACTGTTACCAGACTTAAAAAGACAACTTCGCAGAAACTCTCCAGATACAATGCTAGTGTTTGAGGAGCATTTCCAGTGTAAATAGTTAATTCTTGAAATTATATCCTGTAGCTCTTTTCATCCCAATAGCATTTCATACATATAAAGGGCCCACTTCAACCCCCCTGAAAAGCAGCTCCACCTGAGTGACAGCCAGCTGCTCAGGCCACGAAACAACTTCACCAGCTGCACTGAAATTGACCAAGCCAGGAGTCAGGACACCAGGCTGCTCTCTAGTCTAGTCTATAAAAATGCCCTTAGAGTTTTATTAACCATGTAGCTGGGACCTTGGTTTAACATCTGGAACCTCTGGTCCACAGGGAACAGCGCTACCTACTGGTCCACCCGCACCCCTTACACCAGCGACCTGGTACTGGTCCTCCGGCACATAAGCACATGGAGCCATTCGGCCCATCTGATCCGTTTGGTAGTTAATCGCTTATCGACCCCAAGATCACACCCAACCATTTCTTGAAGGAGGCCGAAGTATCAACTTCAACCACTTGGTCTGCCACCCACCCCAGACCCGCCCCATGCATGCCCAGACCCACCCCAGACCCGTCCCAGGCCCGCCCCATGCATGCCCAGACCCACACCAGACACGCCCCAGGTCCGCCCCATGCGTACCCAGCCCCACCCCAGCCCCAGCGCTGAGCTCCTGAGACCAGGGCCGGCGCCTCACCTTGCGGAGCAGCGAGCGGTCGAAGTCCCCGAGCGCCAGCGTGGCGGCCTGGCCAGCCCGCAGCACCCTGCAGGCGGAGCGGTTCCTCTGGATGCTGCACACCTTCAGCCCCAGGAACTTCCCCTCGTCGGTGGGACCCACCACCAGCCGCTCGCCCTCCCGGCAGATCCCACTGGGGAGAGAGGGGGAGGGAGGCGGCGGCTCAGTCGCTGCAGGGAGCGGGGAGCCACACGGACTGCAGGGACACCGCAGAGCCCTCACCTGTACAGGGTTCCCCCAACCACTGTGCCCACGTCTGGAACGGTGTAGATCTCATCAACCTGGGGAGAGAGTAGTGTTTTTCACAAAGACAAACACACACCTCTTGTACAAAGAGGCAAAAACACTTGACCGCCACACTACAGCAGACAATGTGTATGAGTGTCCAATGTGGTGCAGAGCCCAGGCCTGACCGGACCTGCAGTGTCCAGCGTGGTGCAGAGCCCAGGCCTGACCGGACCTGCAGTGTCCAGTGTGGTCCAGAGCCCAGGCCTGACCGTACCTGAAACTCAGTGAGCTGCTGCATGAGCTCCTCCTGCTCTTTGCTGTTGCTGAGCGGGGGCAAGATGTTGAAGAAGACCTTGAGGAGGTCCAGGCTCTCCCCAGACACGCTGGACAGGGTGAAGATTGGCGTGATGCTGTGAGGAGAAGACAACACAACAAAACGAACACTAGAATAAAAAAACTCAGTCATTCAGTGAAATAAATAATAAATAATGCTTCTGAGATGAATAATACTTCTAAAGAGTATTCCCAAATGGCTTTCATTGCACAAGCCTCGCTCCATGTTACGGAGAATTCGAATATGTGCTGCGTCACCAGCCAGCTGGGACCACGATTAGCCAAACAGTGGCACTCAGGTGCCAAGCGTGTGAACCTGAGGTCTGGTATCCTCAGCTTGCCAAGTAACAGCAGCCCCTGAGGCCTACCAAGTGCCCACGGGCTGGCCAGTCTGTCTGCCAAAGCTGTGGGCTTACAGAGGGAGAGAATCGAGCCTGGGGGCATTCCAGAGGCTACGTGTGGCTCCATCTCTCCCTTGACAGCAGCAAGCCATGTGGAAATGAAAGAGAGTGACTTACCTCGGAGACTGCGCGAACTGCTGGGCGGCGGTGACGGCGTCGTCAGCGTTGGACACCACCATGGGCACCTTGTTGCAACCGGGCTGCTTGAGGATGCGCTCCAGCTGGCGCACAGTCCTCTCGATGGTGCCCTTGGTGCACAGGTCCACCTTGCTGACCACGATGAAGATGGGCACCTTCAGAGCCATGGCCAGGCCCAAGTGCTCCCGAGTGGTGCCCGCTGCAGACACGATAAACACACGTTTCCCTGATGAGTCACACAGACGCAGCGCTCAACTCCATCATCTGTGAGCATGTTACACTGTGCAATGCAAACTAGAATAATAAGAACGATAAATAAGTTCAAAGAATACGAAATGGTCCTTAGTAGAGCTCTACTCACTAAAGTCCGGATTAAAGAAATAAAGCCAAAGAAACATGAGCATGTTACACAAAACTCTGTTACCAGGCAGGCCCCTTTTCAACTTGTAAAGGGAAAGTTACACAGAACTGATAAGACATGAAAGAGAAGGACATTGGAAAAACAAGCAGCACTGAACTCAAGCTTCAGAATGATAATTTCAAAGTCAGAAATACAAATACTGCATGAAATACAAATACTGTGAGCTTGCGTCCATTGTTTCATCTCTTCACCCTGGTTTTACACTGTGATTTTGAAAGTGAAGAATGGAAAGGAAGTCATGTACAGTTCTCCTGATCCCATTGATCAAAAGCCCTGATCACTGCCACCTTTTCCATTGGTTGGGTATGAATCCCAACCTCTGAACTTCAGAGACAGGATCTTGTCCTCATACTGTATGCACAGTAAATGGCTACAATCTCTGTCCGACACTGAAAGAGGACTCATTCACGCTTGTTTCACATCTTCCTGTTTCACTGCCTGAACTCCTGAACACCCCCAGGTGCACTCAGGAATGCCGAAGGCGGTGGGGCTGAGCTGGACGCCGCGCGCTCTGCTGGGCCACTGAGACCGAAAGCCATCAGCAGGTTTAACAGCAAGGCAGGAGGGAAGCAGAATTTCACAGAGCCGCTCCAGCCCCCCCGGCATCACGTGTCCAGCATTGCACACGTACAGCCGTCAGCCGACCCAGCACAGCTTCCCTAAAAATAACACCTCTTACACAGCGTCAGGAGGTACTGCAGCAGCTCAGGTGTGCAAAGCCTGACCTCTGGTTCTGTTCACTACTAGCTCAGTGCTGGTGACACACAGCCGGGCTTCACTGATCCTGTGAATGAACATGGTGTCGCTTGGCTGCATGGGGCTTCGCTCCTACACCAGCTTGACTACCCTGTTCGTGAGAGCACCTCCACATCCTGCTCCTGCACCCCTGAGCTCATGTCAAGAGCAGGCTTGTCTGAACTGACGGCCAAGTCACAGAGCTCCCTTCTGTGTTTCCAGGACAGGGTTAATCTTCCCTGGAAAGACGCATACACCGGAAATCGCACTAATAACTGATTGTGGAAGACAGCCATTTTAAAACACTGCTCGGTCTTCATTTATTGAATGTCAGCATATATAGGTTGTGCCAGCTGCAATCGTGACTGCTGACTGCTTTTAAAAACATATCTAGAAGTTAGGACAACCTCACAGTCGCTTCTGTAAATTTATATTTTAGCTCACCAACACTAAAAGGTAGATACAGTTTTGCAGATGTAGGTCATGTTGGCACGTGTAGGCTCTCTACTCACTCTGCCCCCACTTCTGTCACTCACTGAAACCCAAGAACCCCGGAGAACAGGCAGCTAAAAACAGCCCCAGCATTGCAGATCTCCTCTGCTGTGAGAAACTTGCTGTAGTTCCCGCCACTCCAGGGCAAGGTAGCCTGGGTTTCAAAACCTGATCACAGGTCATAGGTCACAGGTCACAGTATTGTCCACAAAGCAAGTCAGGGTATTTGCACAACAGAAGAGGGAGAAACAATGCACCCTGACCTGAAAACACAGTCAATGACTCAGACCTGTCCAGCCCTGTTTCCGTCAGTCCTCTAGGAGGGATTACCTATGCCTGTGTTTGCACCGACCACCAGCATGGCGAAGTCCGGGCAGTAGCTGGTCAGGCCGAAGATGGTGGTCTTCAGGTACTTGTGGTGGCCAGCCAGGTCGATGAAGGTGATCATTTTGGAGGCGCTCTCACAAATCTCCTCTGCTGTGCGAGACTCGCTGTAGTTCACCACCTGCAAGGGGTGGCGGGGTTAGGGATTCAGATAGCAAACCTGCAGCGTGCAGCCCTGCTGCCCTCCACCACTGACTGCACTGGGCATGATCACCCTGAAACAACCCTAAGAGGAGGGGTCACGCGCTGGGCACACTGACAGAGAACAGACTCTCATCAAAGCGGCCCAGCTGCTGTGCAACTTTCTTTTTTGCGTGCAAGAAAGCAAACACCTTTTCTCTTTCTACCTGCCTATGCATGCAGATTTACTCAAAACTAATGTAAATTACTAAGCAACAAGTGCAGAGTTGCTTCAATCCAACTAAAACCCTAGACTGGGTGAAAAACACTTTGTAATTGCTTATTTGCACCTGTGCACTAGGTAACAATCAGGAGTTTGCAGTGGTTCTTCAGGTCCAAAAACAGCAGTGCACGTACACACGACAGCCTCATCTTGAAAAACGTATATTTCTGTCTTCAGAATGGATTCAAAGGAGACTACAGCCAGTGTGACAAAAAAAAGGTATATATGTGAATTCAGCTACACAAAGAAGTGCCACCACTACAAAGATCAGAACTTGCAAAAGACTGCCAGTGTCTCTTCTGTGCTGTTAATGCTTGGTCAGAATATCTTTGCAGGCTACTGATCCAAAATTGACAAGCAATATCTTGTAAAACAAGCCAATCAATCCATGCTCAGAACAAGGCAATTCAGCTTATACAGTCCTTATCCTGAGTCAGAAATAGCCTTCAGTATGGCTCTGACTCCTGAATCGAATACCACTTCCTTTAAAGGAAGTCTGTGCTCCCGGCAGATCCACCTGAAGGTCAGGATTACTAATCTATGGATAGTAAGGAGCTCCTGACACTGCAGCCCTACAGGGCTTCCTCACCTCTCCCTTGCTGTTAAAGCCCAGGATCTCAAAACTGATGCTGGACGTGCGGCCCGACTGGATCTCGTGGAGGTGTCTGAAGAGGTTGAGGCGCGCACGCCCTCGCCCATTGTCCAGCTCGCCCTGCGTCAGCACCCCCAGCAGGGTCGACTTCCCCGAGTCCACGTTGCCCAGGACAGCCACGCGCAGGTCCAGGAACTGAAGAGCACAGGCACAGCGCAGGGCGCTCAGAGGTGAACGCTGGCTGACACGACTGCATCGCCAGAAACACGTGCTACACAGCGACCGCATGTCAGTACCGTCGCCACTCCTCTCGGTCTTTGACTGCTGTGCTGTTCTGCTCGGGACTCCCCTGAAGCCCTCTCTTTTAGTGAAGCATCTGCCAATGACATGTTTCCACTCCACTGTCTCATCAAACCTCTTCTACCGCTCGTGAGGAGCAGTGCTCCTTCAAAACAGCTCACCTGCTGGTCATCCGGCACTTTCCTGACCAGGACTTCGGCGATTTTTCGGGGCACATCAGAGTCGTAGTCCACCTCTCTCTCCCTGAGAACTGTGATGTCAGCGCCAACCCTGGACACAGACCCAGGCAGAGGTCAAGGGTCATATAAACTCCACAAACATTTTGATCCTAATGGTTTACTTGAGCAAAGTGTGTAATTGCATCATCATTTCTAACTTGTGACTATTTATATCATTCTAACTCATGTCACACTTGCCAATTATGAACTTACTTATTTGTCTGGATGCTTAAAAAACATCACATATACATAATTCATGCATTTCCAGTCTACAGGCTGGCAGCAAAGCTCCGAGGCAGGTCTTTGCTCCCAGGCTGCTCCTTGGTGAGGTCCACCTACTTCTCGGCCATGCGGCGCAGGGTCTTCAGCGAGGCCCTCATGTCCTCCTCCGACAGCCCCACCAGCAGCCCGTTGTCCTCCACCCCGATCTGGTAGACCGCCTCGCCGCGCCCCTCCTGCAGCCTCCACTTCATCTGCGTCACGAGGTGCTCGAAGCGGTACTGCGTGGGGCTCACCAGCTTCAGCTGCACACACACACAGCTCGGCTGAGTGCACCAGGACTCGCGGCGGCCAGCTCCCCTGGCCCCAGCATCCCCGATCCCTGTCCGACTGCTCCTCCCCATCACACACTCCAGTCCTACTGCTCTCATGATCAATCACCAGAAGACTCAGCTACGCTTCGGGCAGGAGGAGCCCACAGGCCCAAACACAGAGGAAACCCTGCCCACCCGCTGGCAGCACACGCCAAGGTTTGCGCTGATGCTCAACGAGTCCTGGTCGCAGAAGTGTCTAAGACGAGCCCAGATTTAAACCCACAGTCCCAGAACGAGTGTACCCAGCCAAGCTCGGGCCTCTACCAGCTGAGCCCCTGCCGGGCCAGAAGGAGACTCGCAACGTTGAGCCCCGCTATTCCTGACCAGCCCCATCCAGACCCGGCAGTGTCTGTCTGAGGCCTGTGGAACAGGAAAGGGGGCCATGAGGGAGAATCCCTCAGCAGGACAGGCGCTTACCTTGTACTCTATGTTTCCTTCCTCAGCCTACAAGAGAGAAAGAGAGAGCATTAGCACGCAGGGCTGGAAGAACAAGGCTGCCGCCGCACACGGGACTCAACAATATGGCAACAGAGGTGGAAAGGCAAAGCACCACAGGGCAGGATAAAACCTACCAGGTGTTCCCTTCAGTGTGCCTGGCATTGTAAATGGATAAATTCCCAGTTTATCCAATATTTTAGGATACTGTTTGACATACTAAGTAATATCAGCAGCCATATCACCCTGCAACTCACAACTGGCAACCCACTGAAGCTGAGCAGGTGTGAGCCTGGCCAGTACCTGGATGGGAGACTCCTGGGAAAAACTAAGGTTGCTGCTGGAAGAGGTGTTAGTGGGGCCAGCAGGAGGCGCTCACCCCGCAGTCAATGTGGCTCCTAATGCCCCAGTATAGTGACGGGGACACTATACTGTAAACAGGCGCCGTCCTTCGGATGAGACGTAAAACCGAGGTCCTGACTCTCTGTGGTCATTAAAAATCCCAGGGTGTTTCTCAAAAAGAGTAGGGGTGTAACCAAATTGCTGCCCAAATTTCCCATTGGCCCTTACCAATCATGACCTCCTAATAATCCCCATCTATGAATTGGCTTCATTACTCTGCTCTCCTCCCCACTGATAGCTGATGTGTGGTGAGCGTTCTGGCGCACTATGGCTGCCGTTGCATCATCCAGGTGGGGCTGCACACTGGTGGTGGTGGAGGGGATCCCCATTACCTGTAAAGCGCTTTGAGTGGAGTGTCCATATAATTGTAAGCAATATATATAATCTAGAAGAGACTGTGTGTTCTGTTTTCGGAATCTATTAGTGGACTCTACTCTCTTCAGTTTAGGATATTGGGTAATAAGGCTTATTATTTCACATTCCCCGATCCATCCATTTTCCCATGCAGTGTATTGTATGGAAATGTATTTCCCAATACAGTGTATTGACAGAAAAGTAAGTAGATGAGGAATCTAACACCTGAATTTCAGGTTCCTCTTCAAACAGAATAGGTCAGTCTGTGAGTTGTTACCAGTCCATAGTATTTCAAACTCCTCTGACACCGCGGCCTCCTCTTCACTCCTGGCAGGCCACTATCCTGGCTTATTTTTAGTGCACCCTGGCTGCCTCTGTGGAAACGCTGGGATCAGGTTACATTCCAGCACGGCACAGCCTGCAGAGTGGCACGCTTACTCGGCGCCGCCCACAGCAAGAAAAGAAAATGTTCAATTCCCAGATGTCTTCAAATCCGCTCTGAAGACAGCAGGGCACACATTCCAGATACACTATTCTGTTTACAGTAACTCCGAACATTTTTGTTCAAGATCTTGTGCTGCACGATGGTATGCCCAACAGCTCCAGGATCCCGAGTTTGGAAATAAGTAAAATCTGCCCGCGTTTTTCCCCCGCTGTTATTTCCACTCCTGTGATGCTGCTCAGATTAATTCATCTGACACAAGTGCAGTTCCTTAAAACTGCAGCAGCTCTGAATATGCTAGAAATGATATTAGCTAACATGACTTCTTCCTGTTTTCAGCTCTGATGGGCTATTTGCTTCCCAGTTATACTGTAACACAGATGAAGTCAGCAGGCAGAGAGGGACTGGGGCCTGTGGAGACAGAGCTCAGTTCCCTCCACTGTGTGATCTGACATACCTGAGGCATCAATGCTGATAGTGTTTCATAGATTAAGTTTCTAAAACTGTACCGAGGCCCAGAAGCTGTTTTGCACTGACGCTCCTCTCTCTCTCTCTCTCTCTCTCTTACTGACTTTATTAGCCTGAGGAGCAGTGAACCTGTCTCTCAGTAATGTTCTATATGTTGTATGTAAATGTCTTAAGTCTTTCAACTTCAATATACAGAACTTTATGCACGGGGACACTATACTGTAAACAGGCGCCGTCCTTCGGATGAGACGTAAAACCGAGGTCCTGACTCTCTGTGGTCGTTAAAAATCCCAGGGCGTTTCTCGAAAAGAGTAGGGGTGTAACCCCGGTGTCCTGGCCAAATTTCCCATTGGCCCTTACCAATCATGGCCTCCAAATAATCCCCATCTATGAACTGGCTTCATTACTCTGCTCTCCTCCCCACTGAGAGCTGATGTGTGGGGAGCGTTCTGGCGCACTATGGCTGCCGTCACATCGTCCAGGTGGGGCTGCACAGTGGTGATGGTGGAGGGGATCCCCATTACCTGTAAAGCGCTTTGTGTGGAGTGTCCAGAAAGCGCTATATAAGTGTAAGCAATTATTATTATTACGCAGTCTTATATCAGCTAGGTCATTAAGAGTTTGCTTCATACTGCCTGACTAAACTGCTCTTAACATGTGACCGACTTAAGATGAACACACACAGGTGAGAGTGACACTGTGTCAGATTCTCCTTGTATCACTGTGTCAGTGTCTTTTCTTCTGCCTCAGTCCAGATGAATATCAGAAATCAAAATAAATTTGCTAGTGATTAAGAACCCAGCTGGAAAAAAAACAGCAGACACACAGGAGTAATCCGGGACCAGGGCTAAGAACCACAACATTACCATAACGCCAAAGCACAACAACAGACAACTAACAAACTACAAAACGTGATAAACAGCTGTATAGCTATTATTGTAGTATTACAACAGAAAAAAACAACTATATAACACAACAACAACAAGGACACAGAAAACATCTGTCAGCTGACTGTCCACAATCAGACAATCAAACAACCTTCTCTCTTCCGTCCTGTGCCCTGACAGCACTCTCTCCCTCTATTGGTTCACTTAGCGAAAAAAAAATAATAGTAGTCGATACTATGACTACTGTCGTCTTAATGTTCACTCCTAACCACATCTCAGGGCTGTTATTCTGAGTTAACCCCAACCTCACGGGTTTAAAACGCTCAAGCCCAGCCAGCTGCCTTCCTGTTTGTAAATTACATGCATTTGTAACATCGCGGGAGCTCGTATCTGCTCATCCGAAACAGAAAGCAAGTCTGGAACACGAACTGCGGCTCAGCACAAACATGCTGCAGTCCGGACGGGTTCTGACTGGGTCCGAGACCCGGTCTCCGCTCGCTCCGCGGTCTCACCTCCGGGGGCAGGTACGGCGGGTTGTTGCTGGGCTTCGTGCTTCTGCTCGCCCGGTTCTTCGCTTTCTTGCCGTTTTTCGAGGTCGACTTTTTGGACATCATCCCGAACCCGTTCCCCGAACCGGCAGCCAGTCCCTGCGAGCCCGACTTCAAGCCGGAGCCGGTACCGAAGAGCTCCGCCATCCGCGAGTCCATCGTGCGGCCGCGGCCTCTCTCCTCCCCCTCAGATGCGTCGCGGCTCTTTCGACTTCCGAAAACCGGGACAGCGCCGGTAACGCATCTGCTGGGCTACAGAGAGGGAATAAAAACAAAAACACTGCACCCCCTCTGCACCCGAAAACGATACCTCAGCACTGAGCTCACTGAAGCGGATATACGTCAAGGCTGATGACAGAGAGGGAAATATTTTCGATGACGTTCACTGAATATTCATAAGGAACCAAAAGTGGGCTGGGATTTAAATCCAGTCACTCCTCCTATTGGCTGTGACTCACATCAGAATCCCCGCCCACGGAAGAGGGCATGTCTGCGCTCGACTCTTGCCTGTCTTTGCATCAGCGACGGGTGAGGTTAGAGGTGAAGAATGTCAAATGAAGCCACCAATATTGTTGTCCTCATTGTGAAACTACTCCTAGGTTGCAAATGCCAAAACATGTTTTCTTAGTTCAACAAAAACAAAAACCATGGCCGGCCCAAGCTCCCTGCGGGCACTAGGCAAGGTCTTGGAAAGGGGCCTCCCTTATTCATGATTTGCACAGACATTACTAGTATCAGCTCCCAACACAACCTTGTTTTACTGTTTAGAACCATTAAATAAATTAATTATTTAACTGGAAAACGTACTGTTCAACTTTGAAGAGCACATAATA